TTGGAAGAATTGCTGGATATTCTGATTTTAGAGATTCATTCTCCGGATCTTGAAACATCAGAGGCGGATTAGTCCTTCACGGAAATTCTCAAATCATTTTATCGGATTCCTGGAACAAGAGGAAAATGCCAATCGATAGATCACCAGTTAGACCCTGTTCGGATACACAGATTGATATGGATTTGGCGAGCGGATCAAATCAGGTTGGATCAGAAAATATTAATATTTTACCTTCTCAAACTGGACATCAGGTGAGTGTCCTATGTTACAAATTCACTCAAATGAGTTTCGTTTATTAAAACTACCGACTTTCTGGCATAAACAACCTAAACTCTGGTTTGCTTCTATTGAAAGTGAGTTTACGGTTTATCGAATTCGATCAGATGATATTAAATATAGTTCTGTCATTCGTCATCTTGATGAACAAGCCTTAGTAAACATATCTGAAGTCATTGAAATCCACCTGAAACAGATAAATATAATTATTTAAAGAAAATATTAATAAATCGCTTTACGGATTCAGAGGAAAACGTTTGAGACAAATATTAGCTGGAATTGAACTTAATGATAAAAAGCCTTCGGAATTACTTCGAGAAATTCGTCATTTGTCTGGAGGATCTTTAGCAGATAGTGTTTTGCAAATGATTTGGCTTCAACGCTTACCACATAGAATTCAAACGACTTTAGCCGTAGTAGAGGATGTTCCTCTTGTTAAACTTGCGGAATTAGCCGATAAAATTGCTGATCGGGACGGCGGTTTGCAAGTCGCGGAAGTTTCCAATAATGCAAGTAATAAATCTTCGGATTTCGCGGATTTGCTACGAAGAATCGAAGCTCTTGAAGTTCTCGTCGTCGAGATCGTTCCAAAAGCCGGTCTAGAGAGAATAGAAGATTTAGATCGTTATCGCGTAACAAAGACAAATCAAATAAAGATATTAAAGATACATCAATTTGTTTTTACCATAAGAAGTTTGGTGATAAGGCTAAACGATGTACTTACCTTGTTCTATGTCCAAAACATTGGCTTCACAGGAAAACTAAAAACGCCGCTTAAGACTGAGGCTGCTTACGACGGTGTTTCTAACAATCGCCTCATTATTTTCGACAGACATTCAAATTTGAATTTCTTGTCGATACGGGCGCTGATATATCGTTGTTACCTAAAAAGGTTTATTGAAGCCGTGGCATACTAATTTAAAACTTTTTGCCGCAAATGGTACTCAAATTAATACTTACGGTTCTAAAACTTTAATTTTGAACCTCGGTTTAAGGAGAGAATTCAAATGGAAATTTTTGTCGCGGATATTCAACGTCCTATTTTAGGCGCCGATTTCCTTTGTCATTTAATCTCCTAATTGACATTAAAAACAAGAAATTGATTGATAATGTTACCGGTCTTATGAATACTGGAAAAATTCAAGAATTGCGCATTTGTCAATTTTTACCACATCTCCTGATTCTGTGTACCACAAATTTTAACCGAATTTCCAGGACTCACCCGTTTTTCTCCAATTTCCTCGGTAAAAACGCATGGTGTTGAGCATCATATCGTTACGGAAGGTTCTCCTAAATTTTCGACTCCCAGAAGACTTACTCCTGAGAAACTTAAATGTGCCAAGGAAGAATTCAAGTCTATGATGGAGCAAGGAATTTGCAGGCCTTCAAGCAGCTCCTGGGCAGCCCCTCTACATATGGTACCTAAAAAGGAACAAAATTCTTGGAGACTGTGTGGTGATTATCGTGCACTCAATTCAGTGACTATCCCGGATCGTTATCCCTTACCTCATATTCAAGATTTTTCTTCTTCACTTTTTGGTAAGAATATCTTTTCTAAAATCGACTTAGTTAAAGCGTACTATCAAGTACCCGTCGCTAAAGAAGATATTCACAAAACAGCTGTCACTACTCCATTTGGGCTTTTTGAATTTGTCGTAATGCCTTTCGGTTTACGAAACGCAGCCCAAACTTTTCAACGGCTCATGAACTCTTTACTTAATGATTTGAGTTTTGCCTTTTGTTATCTTGATGACATTCTTATTGCTTCTAAAGATGAGAAAAGAACATATTGCTCACTTACGCATTATTTTTGATCGTCTTCAACAAGCTGGAATGACAATCAATGTCGCTAAATGTCTTTTCGGTCAAAGCGAGATTTCTTTCTTGGTTACTTAGTTTCTAACCAGGAGTTAAACCTACATCCGAAAAAGTGAAATCAATTATTGATTATCCTAAACCTAAGACACTTCATGAATTACGCAGATTCTTAGGAATTATCAATTATTATCGTCGCTGTCTCAAGGATGCTGCAAATCATCAAGCTCTGTTAACAGAATATTTAAAGGACAGTCGCAAGAGGGATAGAAGAATTATTTCTTGGACTAAAGAAGCGGAATTAGCTTTCGAGTCATGTAAAGAAGAACTTTTACAAGTTACTACCCTTTCTCATCCTGCTCCTCATGCTCCTCTTATTTTAACTTGTGATGCTTCTGACTTTGCTGTTGGTGCATCACTTGAACAGTCTATTGACGACGATATCAAACCAATAGCATTTTTCTCAAAGAAACTAGACAAAGCTCAAAGAAATTATAGCACTTATGATAGAGAACTTCTTAGCATTTATTTGGCTATTAAACATTTCAGGCATTTTGTTGAAGGAAGACAATTGATTATCAGAACTGATCATAAACCTTTGATTTTTGCTTTCCGTCAGAAATTGGATAAAGCGTCACCAAGACAGATCAGACAATTGGACTTTATTGCTCAATTCTCTACAAATATTACCTATATTTCTGGAAAAATGAATTCAGTTGCTGATGCTCTGTCAAGAATTGAATCTATTTCAATGCCTATTATAGTTTCTTTAGAAGAACTTGCTAATTATCAGAAAGAAGATGAAGAACTTCAAGTTTTACTTTCTTCAAATTCTTCACTTCTGTTGAAGAAACTTATTCTTTCAGGATCAACCATACCTATTTATTGTGATTGCTCTTCGGAATTAATTCGTCCATATGTTCCTAAACTCTTACGCAAGAGAATTTTTGATGTTGTTCATGGACTCGCTCACCCCAGCGGCAGATTGACATCTAAACAATTACTACTGAAATTCATTTGGCCTTCTTTGAAGAAAGATGTGAAGGAATGGACTCGAACTTGTCTTCCATGTCAACGTGCGAAGATTTCAAGACACACCAAGAATTCTCCAATTAAGATTGCAATTCCTGATCAACGCTTTCAGCATGTGCATTTAGACATTGTTGGACCACTTCCTATTTGTCAAAATTACCGTTATTGTCTTACTATGATTGATCGTTTTTCCAGATGGCCTGAAGCTGTTCCTATTTCTGAGATTTCTGCTGAAACTATTTCTACAACATTTTATTCACATTGGGTAGCACGTTTTGGTTCTCCTATCAGCATTACAACAGATCAAGGTCCTCAGTTTGAAGCAGCTTTATTCAAAGCTTTAACAAACCTAATTGGATGCCAAAGGATTAGAACTTCTGCTTATCATCCTGCTTCAAATGGAATTCTGGAAAGATGGCATAGGACTTTGAAAGCAGCGATTATGTGCCACGAAACAACCAACTGGGTAGAATCTTTACCTTCAGTTCTTTTGGGATTACGTTCGTGTTTCAAAGAAGATTTAAAAGCTTCACCTGCAGAACTTCTTTATGGATCCACTCTTCGTATTCCTGGAGAATTTTTCATTGAAGAAGATTTTCCTGCAGATCCTGAAATCTTTCTTGAAAAACACAGGATTCATATGAGGAATATCAGATCATCTCCTACAAGTCATCATTGCAAAAGATCACCTTTTGTTCACAAGAATCTTTTTGATTGTACTCATGTTTGGATTCGAGAAGATACGTTAGGAAGTCACTACAACCTCCTTATTCTGGCCCTTTTCCTATTGAGAAACGTATCTCTGATCATTTATTTGCAGTTAATGTTTCAGGAAGAGTTGTCAATATTTCGACAGAACGTCTCAAGCCAGCCTTCATTCCTAGAACTTCAGATTCTACTGAACTTTCTACCAGATCTTCAGCTCCTGTTCCTGCTATTTCAACTCCTGTTCCTGCTATTTCAACTCCTGTTCCTGCTACTTCAGCTCCTGTTCCTGCTACTTCAGCTCCTGTTTCTGCTACTTCAAATCCTTCTTCTTCTTCTACTGTTGGAAAAGCTTTACGCACCTACCCACCAAAGAAGAAGAAAGTCCATTTCGCAACGAATATCGTCACTTGGGGGGGAGGAGACTGTAGCATTCATCATCACCCTTCATTTACACTCTACACTTTTATTACACCTTACACTTTTCACTGCACTTTTACACTTTTTACATCTTTATACATTTGTAATAACTTCAATTCATTAATATACATAATGTTTTTAAGAAAAATCAATATTTCCATAACAACACATTCATTCATTTATTTGTTACATATTAATTCTTTTTGTTCTTTGCTTTATACTTTCAATGAATAAACATTACTTTTTCAAAGATCTGGTGAATTTATTTATAAGTCGCTACATATGTATACATATACAAGCAAGATGTCCACTTGAATTTTCTTACTAGTAAACCTCCTTTGATTGGTTGCATACGTCGTTGATTGGTTACCTTTATATAGAGCCTTTCATTCTTACATTGCAAATATGGCAACACTGTTCGCGAGAGCAAATGCGCGGATTTGCGCATTTCAGGTTGTTTCAGAACAGATGTTTCGTTGTTTCGTTTGTCTGTTCTCCTGCAAGTTTTCGTCGATAAACGGTTAGGAAACAGAAAATGGTACCTCACGGCCCTTCGCCTGGGCACCAAACGTCCGTCAACAATTCTTCCACCACGGCGGTTAGCGGGACGAAAAGCAACGCGACATTGGTAGTTTGAATTTTTAGTAAACGAGGGAGAGCAAAGAGAGATGAGACATGTTGAGGTTAATGCAAGCAAGTGGCAAGCCGGTTCGATTGAATAAATCTAAACATCAAGACGATTTATATATCAATTATATTTTTATGGAAAATGAGAAATTTTAGGATATTAATTGAAATTACACCCATTTCAATTTTTTTATGTTTTTAGATTGTCTTTTTTTTTTTTTAGATTTTGTACATATGTCTTTAGTATGTTTTCATATCATTTTTTGTAGCTTTTTTTGCTTTTACACATATTGTATAATATAATTGAATAATTTTTACTTTTTCTTTAGATAGTTGCTTTTTTTCTATACATGTTCAAATACTACAATAAACTCAGCCAAACTTTGAAGTCTGAAAATACTATATTTACACTTGGAATAATAATTTCATAATGCAATCAAGTAATGCTATAGGCAATATTTATATTAACATTTTTTTTACAGAAACCTACCTATACATTAAAATATACTTTGGCTGGTCACACTAAAGCAGTTTCATCTGTTAAATTCAGTCCCAACGGGGAATGGTTGGCGAGCTCAGGTAAATAAGGATTTTTAAAAATTTTATTGCCAACATTATTCTGAAACACAATGGCAAGTATCTAATTTTCAGCTGCTGATAAGCTTATTAAAATATGGGGATCTTATGATGGAAAATTTGAAAAGACTATATCCGGTCATAAACTTGGTATTTCGGATGTAGCATGGTCCAGTGATAGTAGATTATTAGTATCAGCTTCTGATGATAAAACCTTAAAAATATGGGAATTAAGTTCTGTAAGTAATTCATTATATAAGATTTTTTTTCAATGAAAATTAGTGGCAAAAAATGGACACAGATATGTATTGGAATTTAAAGTTAATTTTTATTTTAAATAAAGTATATAGTCACCAATAAGTTTTGAGTTATGTGTTGTAAAGGAATGTTTGAAAACTTGTTTTTAATTTAATAAAATATCAATGAGTAAATCATTAAGCATTAAGCATCTAAGTAACATTAAACTTGAGATTAAAGTTGCAGGTCTTAGTTTTATATAAATCAACAGATTAAGTTTTTTTGTTTTTTATGATTTGTATTACTCTGTGGTATATTAATCTTGAAATCTTATTTTTAGGCTAAATGTTTAAAAACATTAAAGGGTCACAGTAATTATGTTTTCTGCTGTAATTTCAACCCACAATCCAATCTCATAGTTTCTGGTTCTGTAAGTATTATATATGTACAAACACACAATACAATATATTACTTATTTGTTAATTAATATATGATTTATTTAACTCGAATGTTTCAGATTTTTTTTAAAACTTGTTTTTCTTTGAGAATTAGGTTAATTAATTTTTCTTTACAATTTTGAAATATTTCTTCTATTATTTTTATCTTTCCAAGATTAAATAGTTTATCCTTTAAGAGTAAATAGAAGTTATATGTGGTATATTTAAGATATTTAGATTCAAACGTAGACTATACTCCATATAATATTACTAAAATAAAATATAAGCTATATATATTACATGTGCTACTACAAAAGAAAAGATGTAGAAGAGATTTACTGCTTTTAGTTTGACGAAAGTGTACGCATTTGGGATGTTAGAACTGGTAAATGCCTTAAAACTTTGCCAGCACATTCAGATCCTGTTAGCGCAGTGCATTTTAACAGAGATGGCTCTTTAATCGTATCGAGTAGCTATGATGGATTATGGTAAACATATAAAATTTCGTAATTAAAATAATCTTTAAAAAGAAAAATATAAACGTATATATAACATGTGTACTATGTATTTTTCTTTTGATTCATTCAAAAATATAATATTAATAGCTTACATTACATACAATATATTACAGTCGAATTTGGGACACTGCCTCGGGACAATGTTTGAAAACATTGATAGATGATGACAATCCGCCAGTATCATTTGTCAAATTCTCACCAAATGGCAAATATATTTTGGCAGCTACACTAGACAACACATTGAAATTGTGGGATTATAGTAAAGGAAAATGCTTAAAAACATATACAGGCCATAAGAACGAGAAGTATTGTATCTTCGCAAACTTTTCTGTAACAGGAGGAAAGGTATGTATTATAGATCTCAAAGATATGTAAGATTGAGATTGGAATACAAAGAGATTCTTAATAATTATCTCAATATTTTTTATTCTTACATAGTGGATTGTATCTGGTTCTGAAGATCATATGGTATACATTTGGAATCTGCAGACAAAGGAGATTGTACAAAAACTACAGGGGCATACGGGTAAGTATGTGAATTTAAGAACAGTAAAAAAAATAGTGCTACACACAAATATAAATTTAAAGCCTTCAAATTTTGTACGACGCATATATATTCTCAAACATATATTTTTTCTTTACTCACAGATGTGGTACTTTGTACGACATGTCATCCTACGGATAATATAATTGCTTCGGCCGCCCTCGAAAATGATAAAACCATCAAATTATGGAAAAGCGATACATAAAGACGATCTGCAAATATTTACTTTACTGTTACTTATTATCTCTTGTACAAATCTTTATTTTCAGTTTACAAATGATTACATTGCAAAAGCACTCTGATCATAAGGTTCATTTCATAACTGTATAAAATAATTAGAAAATATTAAAGTAAATATTTTATACTAGAAATATATTTTTTATCATTGAATAGTGTTAAGACTTATTTTAAAGTAAATTAATTTTGAAATGAGCGTTTTAGCATTTATAATTGTTATAAATATAGGTGTAGAATATTATATATATCAGGGAAGTATTTTATTTAATCGAGTATAGATATTAAATTGATTTACACATTTCATTTTTCTGATGGTTACTTGTACAAAATTATATATTTATATAGAAAAGTATACAGTAAAATCGATATTCGATCGTATATACTTATACATGTATATCGTTTAGAAATTTAAACAGCATTGAGCAAAGATATTTTGTTACTTCCAGTATGTAATGCATATATAATATATAATAGATACAATTTTTGAAAGTCACTAAAAATCCAAAATTCAAGTTCAAATGCAATAAATATATATTCGGCAGATGTTAGGCAAAGGAGATATAGGAATTTTAATATCTTTAAAATTCAGTAACTTTTAATATTCATAACTTGCAAAATAATTATAAAATCTAAAATATTAGTTTCTATATCTTTTTATCTCTCTCGCTCACATATATACGAATACACACCCACACAGACTCAACATATATTACAAACTTTCTTTTTTAATTGATATATGTAATTATAAATCTATTTTAACAATTGTATTAAATATAATATAAAATCTAATAAACTTTGCCTATCAGATCAGCTGTATCCTATAGTACAAGAAGAGATATGTAATAAGTAATAAAACTAATAATTAAAAATATTACATATCTTTATTTTATGTAATAACCCATGATTATAGTTTGGTCAATTTATGTTAAAATAAGTTCCTTTACTTGATACAAATATCGAAAATAGATTTCTATACATAATTTTTGTACTCTTTTTAAATTGTATATTATTGTTATAAGTTTTATAATATTCTGTGAAAAGAAATCGTATCACAACCAAGATTGCCAATTTGCATACATGCGGCCCAAAATATTGAAATCTTTGGCTTGATCTAATAAACAATCCACCTGAAAATATTATTTATTAATACCGAGGTGTATAAAAAAAGGAAAATTTCGAGTTTTTTGATATATAGATATCTCGATTTATAAAAATAAAAAAATACGATATTGTTTATTTAGATGTCTATAGCAGAGAAAAAAATAATCAAATATGCTACTGAATCAAAATTACCTGTTCAGCAGGTGTCAAACAATCGTTCCTTATATCTGCTCGTGCTTGTTTGACATGTCCGTCATCACCAATGACAATGGCATAATATCTTGTAAAGTATTCCTCATCGTGCGCCTCTCTTAATTGCTCCAATGTAATAAGTGATGGATGGATCCCATTTAATTTCTTCGCAACTATCTCAATATTTTTCTTGGATGACCATGTTAAGTCTGCGCAATATACAATTTACAAAATAACAAAAACTAGCAATTTGATGTCCGAACAAGATCTATAAAATTCACAGTATTTTGTGTTTCATTACCTGCGTCAACATCATCATTCCTCGTCGTTGTCTCGTCGTCGTCATTGATATTAGACCGATTAGCAGGCTTGTGAACGAAGATGTCCATGCAAGCAAGGATCGGACCCCGATCGTTGCGCAGGGCACGCATCACGTGGGTCATGATCGTCGCCAGAAGGTCCTGCTCGGTGAAAGGTCGCAGTAACTCGAGTATCTGAGGCGTCAGACGAAAGGGCACGAGTTCCGGTATCGGCGCGCGTATCCCGCCGCCGAAAGCGTGGCCGAAGTCGATGCCCAGGCATCGTCCGGTGGTCACGCGCACCAGGGTGTTCTGCAGATGACGATCGCCGACGTCCGCGAGCCAATGCGCCGCGCACATCGTCGCGTAACTCGCGACGAAGTTGCGTCGTAACGTCACGAAGCACTCCGGCGACGAACTAACAGCGACGAAAGCGTCACGCAGAGCAGTTTGCCTGGTCTCGCTGACAAAGCACTCCATCTGATCCGTGACCGTTCGCCAGTTGTACCTGGACGCGGCCTCCATGTACTGATCGACAAGCCGAGGCCGCTTCGGGAATGTCGCGTTCGCTATCCATATCGCGTATCTGTCGCGAATCTTTTTGTATTTTTCCTTCTCTGTGTTAGACAGAGTGAAGCACACCAGGTCCTCCAAGGATTTCGTGTCTTCGATCCACTGTATGAGACCGAATGACTTCGACAACGGAATCACCTGTGTGTGTATAATATTATTAGTATTAGTTGTTTATTAATTTATATAATATATAAATTATTTATTTAATATATACAAATTTAATATATTATAATTAATTATATAATATATATAATTTATATAATAATATAAAATATTATATATAATAAAATATATATACCTCATACGTGTCTATGGCTAAACGTTTTTGTCTGCAGCTCGCGTCATTGCGCAATGTCCTGTTCATGGTGGTGTACAGCTGTTGCAGGCCGCGATCGATCGTCAGATTCTCGCCGAACTTCACCAGGAACTTGTACTCCTTGCCATTGTCGCCTACCATGCCGATGCGAATCGGTTTGCGCAGCGATTGCATGACCTCTACGCGCGGCTCGAAACGCGCGATTCTCGCGTGATAACGTGGTATGGGTTCCCTGTCACCGGTGTATTGGCCGGGTACCTCGATATCATCACCCGTGTACTCGTGCAAGAATGGGCTGTAATCGTTCAACCTCGTTTTGTTCGCGCGTCTCGAGAGGGACTTGTCTAATGCTTCCTTGAATCTTCGTATTTTGTCTCGCATGGCATTCGGATCTTCAGGATTCAAGGCTCTTATCTCCCTTTCGTATCTTGCGATCGCACTATAGATACCTCCTGGACGAAGATCATTGTTCCTCATCTGCGCGTTCGGATAGACCTTTTGCAGCAGAGACTCGATGATGTCTATCGCTGCTTTTCCTTGCGATAGAGCCTTCAACGCTTTATCGAGATAGTACTTGAGATACAGTTCGGGTTGCGCCACATATTGTATCGCCTCCAGGAACTTGTCGTAGTTGCTCATCTTGTCGCGCAAGAACCTATGCACTTGCTGAATATTTTCATCCTGATAAACACCAGAGTTTCTCTCGAATAGCTGATGATACGTATAGATGACCGCGTCGGGATAAGTCTCGGTGAGTCTCCTGATGATCGGCGCAATCAGGGTAGTAATTGATGGTGTGACTAGGTGAGAAAATAGCAGATCCTGCCAGCGTAGAAACAACCACGGTCGCAACTCGGCGCATTCATGAACGAATGTGTCACGCGTCTTCTGGTCCTGCAATCGTTCGGGTCTCAGCAAGCAGGGAAAATAATGCGCCGCCTCGAGATAGTCGTGACGCATGGCTTTCAGGGTGGAGGACAAGAAATCGTAGAAAAGTTCGTCACTCCCCGCATCGGTGGACATCAGTCTGCCGTAACAATAGCGAGCCAGGGCGCAATAGTGTTCGCCGATGTTACTGGCGGCTGTTTGCTCTGCGTACTTGCAGCAATCTCGCAGATTGTTTAAACTATATTGCAGCAACCGTTCCTGGATATATATATTCAGATCGACGACACGCGATTCTGCGATTCCAATGTTCTGCAGGATATCATCAGGACAATTACTTGCCAACATGCGCGCGAATTCTGTGTCCTCCCTACTTGAGAGTTCGATTTTCGAAGCCAATGCACTAATGTGTTGCCAAACAGCGGTCTTTGTGTCGACGTCGAGTTCATTATGCTGTAATAGTTCATGCAACCGCCTCCAAGAGACAATATAATCGGACATTTTTGTGGAAGCATCCGTCTCGTCGTCGGCGCATAGACACTTGATCCTAGCCTCGAGCCATTTCAACTTAACCTCGAGCCACCTGATGCCCCTCGAACGATTGTTATAATTCATATAATTCAAATGCTTCTCGGCGATGTATCGGTGTTTCTGATGCAACGCAGCGTTGGCGATACCCAGTCGGAGTTGATAACTGTTTTGGAATATCTGCTCTACGATCGTACATTTCTTTCTGCAAATATCCTCGTCGTCATTCTCTTCCATATCGTTGAAGATATTTAGAAATAGCCTTGAGACATACGTTCGATAAGCGGCTAATTTATTCCACTGCACCAGATTGTCTTGGACGGTAGGTATTTTCGATGACCAAAAGTTCAACAACGTAGCTAGCCGGTCCAAGTAGTTCGCATCATTCGCGCATCGAAGAACCTTAAGTGAAGCGTTGAGATCGTTCATGGCTTGCAGTTTCAGTGATTCACGTATCCCTTGTTCGGTGCAGAGAGGATTCAAACCGACCCATTGCTCTCCTGTCTTATCCAGAAGATCGTTCAACAGATCAATGGCGTGTCTCTGCTGATCTTTGTTCATCAGCAGAAACATTATTAGATCCTTGCCTACCGTGTGCTTAAAATACTTCTGTTTATTTTGATCATTCATCCACGACTCGATGACTGGCAGATCGTTGTTCCTCGATGTCCAGTTCAACTCCGCCGTCATGTGTACATAAGCATCGCAGACATACGGAATCATCCAGTCCTTCCAGGGGTCGTTCCAAACACCATTCAGACCTCCGTTGTACGTGCGCTCCTTCACAAGCCGATCGATCTCCGACCAGTCGCATAAATTCTCGACGGCCTCGAGTAAGCCTTGGAAGCTGTGCTCCTTTATCGACCGATTCTCAATTTGGTCGTAAGCGCGTTTGTAGGCGTCTTTCGCTTGGATCCAGTCGCCGTTTACTTCCGCGAAAGCCGCTTTCTGAGGAGAGAACGAGAGTTATTTTCTAAAGAGAATCACGTTTTCTTTTAGATGGAAAGGATGTGTGCAAAATAACGAAACTAATAAAAATTATTGTGATCGATTAAAAATTCCAGAATTACCTGCACGTAATCGCCAAAAAATTGTCGTCTTCGAAAAATACTCAAAACAACGTCGACGTCATTCAGTGATTTATAGAGAGATGCCAACTGTACCCACTTATCGGTCTCTTCGTGCTCATGTCTTCGCATTTTCTTGCTCGGTGCAGGCAAGTCATTATCTCGCGGATCAGACAATAAACTGCGTTCCAGAAGAAGAGCACCGAGAACGTCCAAGCGACTCGTCTTGGAGACCTTCGCTATGTCTCGTGGATGACAGTCGGTGACGTTTAATTGTAGCAATGTCTCCAGAATAACAGCATTGAAGGGACTGTCTTTCTCGCTCGAATCGTGCAGAATTCTCTTTAAATTGTCCACGACAGCTCGACAGAAGTCGTCGGATTGTTGTGACCTTCTCCCGGTTGTTTGCTCGATCAACGAACAGATTAGCAATACAGTCACGTCTTTACAAATCAACCGATCCAATTTGATCAACTGTTGAAGCGGTATAATTAAACTCGAATGAGGTATTTCAATATCCGGGAAATCTCCGATTCTATAATCTCTGTGAATAAAAGCGGAAAAACAAGAACATAAATATTTATTCAAAATTATTCACAACATAGAAGCTAGAAAGGATCTTACCTGTACAATTTCACGCTACTTCTCTGCCTGATACTTTCCTGTTTCATCATTTCTGCCCGTTTCACGTTTTTCTGTATTTGCCTATGACGAACGAAATTTGCGACGTCCGACGAGTTCGCCAGCAATCTAACTGGTCCTCTGCGCGTCGTCGTAACTCGCGATGACTGTCTCGACGAAGATGCGATTGTCGTTCGATCGAATTCGTCATCGAGGGTGATGTTGGCAGCTTCGTCGGCATCGGGAACAGTCGGCACAAACTGCAAATCCTGCGTCGCACGAAGTCTTAGAGGTATATTTGGATGTCGCAAGAAACGCAAATAGGAATTATCGGCACCGGCATCGGTGCTTATCTGAGAGGAGGTGCCGTAGCTCATCTGCGAGGCAAACGAGTCGACGAACATCGGAGTCATATAACTTAGATTCCGCCTGCGCCAGGAAACGTCTATTGTATAATTCTCGAAGATGGAATCCTGATGCAACGGCTGATCGAACATATTCTTGTTGTAATTCCTCGATTTGGTGGTCAGCTGCAGCATCAACAGCGCTACGAAAGGCGCAAACGCATCGTCTTCAGGCGACGACGTCGTCGTCTTCCGAAGCCACGAGTGCATGGTAAGAAGTGCGAGCAAACGAGTCTTCGAGCTCTCCGTACTGAGTCTTGTCTCCTCCGTCCAGAAGCGCAGTATCTTGTCCTGCAACTCTTGAGATGGATCCAGCAAACCGGTCAATAGGTTCTCCATGCTTATAGACCGCAACATCTGAATCGAGTCATCGTTCGCCGTACTGTCTTCCGAGTACTTCCTGTAAACGTTCATGAGTATGTCGTAGACTAATTCTCGATGTTCCGTGTTTATATCTTTAATATATGGGATCGTCAGATTCACGTAGTTCAACAGCTTCGACGGTGGGATGGTCGCAACTAAATTGCCGACGATTCCCAGCGCCAATTTCTCGCAAAATGGTGCTCGATCTCTCAGCACTTTCTGGAGATTCATACGGCACAAATCATCCAAAATCACGGATTGGTCTGAAGCAAGTCTCGACATTGCTAACGTCAATACCTCCAAGCAGTAGGGTCTCTCCACATTCTGGGCCATCGCTTTGATCATTACGTTGACGTAACATCGATCCGTGGCAACCTCGGGATAAGTCCGGCAGAGAACAGCGATGCGTTTCACTTGTTTGCTCAAATTTTGGCACTGTTGCGCGGGACCGAGGGCTTTGAAAATTTTGTCTTTCACTTCGCGTTTCTTACCCTCTCTCTCGACCTCTTCGAGCTTATCTAAAGCGTTCAGATATAGTCCGAGGCATTCGCTAGCCTGTAGAGGCGTTTTGTCAGTTTCGGACGTTTTCCAATCGCTCACCTGTCTCTGCAGGAAGATGACAATGTCGTCTCTCGGGACGATCTCTTCCGTCATATCGTTGTCGAGAAGCACTAAGATGAGGTACACCGCGGCCTTCGGAGCGAATATTATTTTCTCGTTCAACAAAATCTTCGGCACTCGTAAATAGCTGTGCCACTTCTCCACCATGATTTTTATTAGACCGAGATTATAGTCGTACACACGTCGTTCATCATTGAACGTTTCTTTCAATGCTCTTCTGATGAGCACTTCGAAGAGTCTCTGTGTCTCTTGCGTTTTGCCATTCTCATCACGTGGCACGGCCACGTCGTGCCAATCCATGAGTATCTCCAGAATGTCCGTGATGATGTAATTCAAATCGTACTGTTCTAAGTAATCGGCGACGGTTTTGATTATCGGTGTTATAACAAACTTGGCGTAAGACTTGAACACATCAACCGTGTTGCAGATGACCCTCAATAAAAATAGTATGATATTCCGGGGATAGACGAGATATACTTCACGCTTCGGCTGCATAGCGAGGCAAAAGAGATCTATAGACCTGGGCAATTTGTCGTTCGGTAGCTTTGTTTTGTCGCAGACCTCTTTGATACGTCGCAATAAGACGCATATATACGGCATACATTCGTGTTGATTGAAATCATCGCTCTCAAGGACGACGCTTGTTGCTCCGTGATTTCTCGAACCGGGATGAGGCAGCAGGACGCTTCTGTTAAAATCATAGGCATTGATGTCCTCGCACAACGTGGAGGTCGTCAGATCGTAACTGTGAACATATGTATATCTGTGTCGTGAATCGTCCATGCTGGAAGTTGTGGCTCTCACGTTAATGGTGATCTCGCGGGTCTTCGGATGTTCCTTAAAAGTCTGACCGAGTTGATAAGGCTTGTCGAGATCTATAATGTTCTTCCAAATGAAGAAACGTTTCGTGTGATCTTCGCCGAATACTGCACAGTAGATATGTTCTTCATCCTTCAAGTTGATGATCGCCAACGAACAATTGTACGCGGAACAATGCAATAGACGCATAAGCTCCTTGCATCCCGGTCTCTCAATGCTTAAAGCTCGCGTATCCCTGGTGTGTGTGAACAAACTTTGAAAAAGCTCTCTGCCAGTTTGAAGTTTCACTTTGCCAGCCTCGATGTCGGGTAAAAGAGCATTTCGCACGATCGTCGCGTTAACGCCGACCAACTTGTTCATATCCACCATGGCGACCATGATCGTTATCAGTTGAAAGCATCCGATCTTGGACACGATGATCTGTTTGACTGTCGCCTCTTCGGTAGCGGCTGTCGGGATGGATCGGCCAGTGTATTTGCGCAATTCGTAAATGTTTTGCTCGAAAAAGCGCTCGATCGCGATTGCGTCGCAAAACTTGAACGCCGGCAAGAGAAATTCGTTCAGAACATCGAATCTGTCAGTTTCGTTCATGATCTCCGTAAACATTTTATACGTAAACTCCAATGATTGTAGGACGTGATTGCTGGACACTTCCCGATAATATTCGCGCAAATGCTCCTCCACTTTTCCGTCCCGAAACAGACGATCGCCAGTTCCGATTGCAAAGTATATCACGCCCTCAAGCATAATTATCGATTTCGTAGTCGACAGCAACGTCAGCAACATTTCGAAACAGTCGATCACTTTCATGGCGTTCACGCTTGTCTCGGATAGATTCGAGCATAGACTCTTGGCGTCGTTCTTCAGAGTCCGTAGGATTGTTCGCAACTGGCCGAGCTTTTTATCGTGAATGCTATCCGTCGTCCCGTCCGTCAGGCAAATAAAAAATCTTTGCAGAATATGTATCTTATACTCGAGATCTTTATTACTGTTCAATTGATTCAGAATCCATTGATAGAATGCAGAATCCTGTGCGGGCTTTAAACCGAGACGCACCACGATACCGTAAATATTCATCAATCTCTCGTTGTGACTGTCCACGTTACAGACGGCATTCTTCAAGCATATAAATTCCCGCATAATTGCATTCACTGTAACGTCTACGTGAACTTGCAACTCGTGTTTGTGTTGTTTCAGATACAGCACTAGATCCTCGAGCCACTTGAGGAAAAAGGACGGTTTGTTGCGCGAAGTCTCGTCAAAGTCGAGCGTGACCGCGTCGATGTGCTTCAACATAAACTTGAAAATCGCGCTCTTAAATATGTTCAAAAAGTATTCGCCATGAGTGATCTGTGCGGAATCCGTGCCGATGACTGGAGTGTCATCGGATATTAATTTCATCAGCTGGTCGATAATCGAGCGAGTATTTTCAGGTACTATTATCTCGACCTCTGTACTCATCGACGATGATGCTTTGATCGTCGATGAGTACAGAGAGAGTTGAAACTCCATTATGGTTCTCAAATATTCGATCATCCGCGCGTTCAAATTTCTGCAAATAAATTCCCCCATGCGCTTACTCACTAGAAACTCAAAGATAATCGTCACTGTCTCCTCGCCGTTTATGAAGGCTTGGCTGTCCTCCTGATGTAAGATCGTTTGATCGAGCATGTCGCATTGTTGTAGCAGAATCAGACCTTTAACTTGCTGGATCAGATCGTCGCCGCGGTTGTTTTGCGCGATGTCATGCAAGTTGAGAAGTTCCGCGATGTTCGGGCCGGAAATTATGAGACAATCTTTGAAGATGTTTGGTGCACCATGCAATTTCATAGTGTTTAATAGACTTTCTAGGACGTGTGGTAACTTGTCCGTCATCTCGATGTTCCTAACATCGAAGCCGACCACTCGTGGATTCATTATACACTTGATCGTTAACTCGAACAAGGGACGAGTGTCCCGCAAACAGTTTGGTAGGGCACGATCCTGAAAAATATAATAGAACTTTATCACTATTAAATATAAATTTAACGTATAAGACGGGCAACAAGAGCCAAATCGCGGATGACAATGCGTTATCCTAACGAAACTAAATAATTTTTCCGTTAGATTTAAATACCGGTGCACAAGGCACCAAATTTTTATTTCTCTTGCATTCATTTATTTATTTTCCGTAGGGGGTTAAAGGGGGTATTGAAATTAAATCTCAAATATGAGATTATTTCATATTTTAAAATCTTGGCCGTGTCCAAGTAAAATTTGGTGCCTTGTGCACCGGTATTTAAATCTAACGGAAAAATTATTTAGTTTCGTTAGGATAACGCATTGTCATCCGCGACTTGGCTCTTGTTGCCCGTCTTATACGTTAAATTTATATTTATATTACAGAGCCTTGTTAAAACTCTTATATTTATCACTATTGCTCTTCGACAAAGTTGTATGCATTAATTTATCGAAATAATCCTTACAACAATTGTATTGCAATTAATAATTGCTTTATTCAGGACCAATAATTATATAGCTTGTCCTCTCGTATTAGTTTTATTATTCGCTAATCGTTAATTTAATTCGATAAATCATAAATTTGCTCGATTATTAAACTAGTACTAAGCAACTTACGTTGAACAGTACTTGTATAAAATTCAGCGTAGCCATCAGAGTTTTGCACTGTAGCATCTGCAACTGTTCGAGTTCCCTGGATTGTACTGCAACCGCCTCTATCGGATCTCTTTTTTTTATTATTTGCCAGAATTGACTAGTAAAACTGCGAATGCAGGAGAAGATCTTGTGCTCTTGTGCGTTATCGATATCGGGAAAAAGAGTTTCGAACTGCAGTAATTGGTTGTCCAGCAACCATACGTAGTAATCCAGAGCTTTCAAAAATGGTGTCACATTGCCGATGACGGAGATGTCTTCTATGTCCGATTTCACGTCTTTCAGAATAATATCGTTCAGTTTCATCTTGTCAGTCTTGACGAAGATATGTATCGTTTTCTGCGGACTATCGACGCATTGCGACACGTTGAGATACAGTTCCATGCATTTTGCTCGACAACATTCGTCGAGTGATCCACATCGCGATAGCAACCAGTGCAGAGCGTGGGTCAAAGTTGCGCCTTCGAATTCGTGCGGCTTTCTCCTCCTGCCTCGAGAATCAGCCACCTTCAAAAGATCTGCCTTGAATCTCATTACTTTTTCGACGTGAGCCAGCGCGTTTGCAATTGATGGATCGTCGCATTCGTCATTCAAGCTGCAGACGAAACAGTAGAATATTTCTAGCCAATAAATCGACACTGTATCGTCGTCCTCGCGCAGGATCGCATAGAGATGATTAAAAGCTATAGCCGCGGCTACGCGTTTACGCATCGAAGGATGCAGAGCGAGCTCGTTAATCCTTCGGACGATCCGATGAACATTTGACTGGATCTCTTGTACTTCCGGCGCTTGCCTATGAACAAATCAATCCATTAACTCTTTTGCACGCTTTCAAAAATAGTCGCAATAAAAGCATAACAATACGAATTAATATTACAAAAGTTAAGCTTTGTAGACAACAAAAAATATTAAAAATTCTTGAGATACATACCTGATCGACCAACGTGTAAACTCCGCCAGACACGTACCGGAGAACTCGCGCAAGGCGGGATTCGAATCGTTGGTTAAGTTGTCGAATAACGAATCGAGAACAGGGGGGATTACAGGCGATAATAGCATAATCCTGGAGCTCAGCCAGCGCATCAGCTGTAACGTCAACGGCTGAAAAAGGCCGCACACGACCTCGTCGGAATCGCAACCAAGCGCAAGCATGGCCGGACACAGGGTGCCGTAGAGAACGGTGAAACGATTATCCGAAGTGGACTTGGTGTAGCCGACAATGAGGGCCACCATCGAATGCAGAACCTCGCAGGCTGCGATCTTGGTACGTCGGTCACTGGATTCGCGCGCCAACGCAATTATTCGTGGCAACGTTCGATCAAAATGGATGTCCAGTTGCGCGTCCGACAACGGTAAGCTGTATTTGAGCAAATTCTTGCGATCCCAGGACGCCCCGGTGCTACGAGAAGCGCGATCGTGCACGTAACTTGACAGCAGGTCGTGATCGAGAGATCCTAGGAAGAGCAGAACTCGCCGTTGGAAGTTTCGCAGCTTACACTCAGTATCAACCAACTCGATGCGTTTCACGCAACTCCTCGTCGTCGTCGTCAAATCTTGAGAGACCTCGACGGAGCTCTCCGTGCTGCGCAAATATGGTTCCAAGTACGCTACGATCTTGCGCAACAATTCATTTGTTCGTTCCTGTTTTCGTTCTTGTTCAGCCCATGTCTCCAAAGTAGTGAGCGCAGTGTCTGCGAGTTCCAGATTGTTCAGACCGACAGTAAAGGCGATCTTGAATGCTGGCAGTGTGCATGGCAGCGCATCCTTGAGATATACATAGGGTGCATCCAGGATCAGGTAGAGACATGCGATTAGCAGTTCGTTCGAGAACGTGGGGATCAGATTGAGAGTACGTGCCAAGTAATTAGATAAAAGCTCTTTTATCTGTTGTGATTCTCTACTGTTCTCTTCTTCTTCTTCTTCTTCTTCTTCTGACGTGCGGGCAATAAAGATCTTCATGCCAGTCTGAACGAGTTTGTAGAAACCAGATATCAATGGATTCTTATATGACAGTCTAATAATCTCGTGAAGAAATCTGTACACAGTGTTGGCGAATAGCGACAGCTCCGAAGAGTCGATAACATCAATGTAAAGGTTCACAAGATTCGTGAACACGCGAAAGTCCGCTTGGTTTAAGGGACTCTGAGTAAGGGCTACGTCCGAATACACGATGTCTTCATTTGTTCGTTTTACACGTATGTCCAATCGGCTGATCAACGTGATACACACATTTACCAAGGTATCTGCCACATGTTGCGCTATTTGCTCGCATCCGAAATAGCTTTCGATGTTCAATAGCTTCGTCCACAACAATAGATAATTCTTGTAGCATATCGGTGACTGTTGCAAGTTGTTTAATTCGCGTTGTAACTCTGCGTCAAGCGCCAACGTATGCGAACAGCTCCAAGCGATGCCATCATAAACTGATCACAAAGACGAGATTAAATAAATTGAATTTAAATTACAATTATTTCAAATCAATCAATTTACTTACTTATATTATTGAGATATATCTGCAGAAGATTCCTATTGATAGTTCCAAATTTGCTAATAGTTTTAATCAACGCTGAAACAGCGAACACATTGTTAGATATTACCATGTCAGGAAATCTCTTAATTATATAAATACTGAGTTTTATAAGAACGTTAATCTTTTCAATTGTAACATCAGTCATGTGACATAGTATTTCCGAGAGCGCTTCTTGATAATAACAGATAGTCTCTATGTGTGTGGAATGACTCTGTTCACTTGAAAAAGAAAAGATACAGAAAATTATTGTTTCATTAATGTCGAAGAAAAACAAAATTTCAGCGTAATATTAATATTAGCATAATTATATTGGATATACCTAAAGTAGTTTTATTCTTACCTGAAGCAAAGAGGAAGTGCATAACTGGATATAATTGAATACATAGATCTGACGTTGTAATCCATATGCCTTTTGCATGGTGCAGCCATTTGACTGAATCCATAAATAATTAGTTGCAATGCGATTAGATCTAAGTCAGTATTTTCGAAATCTTTTTAAATTCGCTAAGAAAATACTGAAATCAGAAATATAAATTACAGTAATTCTATAATAAAGAAAACTCTACATAAATCTTTACACAATATTTTATTCACCACTAATATGTCTTGTGCATCTTCGCTATTTGTTTCTGTAAGAATGTGCCCCATAACTTGGTAATATTTTTTTAACGCACGTCGTCCATAAGCACCAGAAGGGGTTGTTTTGCGTGATAAATCCTGAAGAGACCCGTACCAATTTTTATAATCGGTATATAGAAGATCTTGAAAGAAATTCATATGACGAGTCAGAAGATCTATCGCCGATTTCATCACAACTTGTTCTCTATTTAACTCCTTCTGACTCTTTCTGACATTCTCAATCCATTTGTATATTTCTTCGAAGCGTTTTTTTCTTGTTTTCTCCGGCGGTTCACTACTGTCCAACATATCCGCGAGAACATCAAAGTACACGTGGAAATCCTTGTGTAAATTAGTATTTGAATACTGTATACAAAAAAATATACAATATTACAAATCAAATTAATATTACATAATTATAATATATTCTTAATTTTTAACAATTCTAATCTCTTAATAATTAAATTTATAGTTACTATCTTATAGATACGCTATTTATCGTTACTATTCACCTTTACCTCTTTAGATGCATCAGAATAGAGTAGTTCAAAAATTGTATTTGAATAGTTCTGCAAACAGACATTTCCATTATTGTACTTAATTATTTTACCAAGAACACAAAATACCACTTTTTTTTCTATAACAGAGAATAACAAAAAATCACTTTTTATATTTTAATTTACAATTTAATTTAAAATATTATACATTTTTAATATTATATTTACCACTCCTGTTGTATGTTTGAAATTGTCTCACAAAGTTGTCCACCATCTCAATGAGATTTAAATCATAATTCCTGAATAGCTTTATTAAATTTGTAAAAGCATTACAAGCAGCTTTCTGGGTATAATTACTACATTTTATAGTTAGCGCTGACTGACACACATCCTATAATATATTATACATATGTATATATAAAAAATCATAAATTAAAAAATTATAAATAGATCATATAAAATGTATATGAAAACATTTACAACATCAAGTTTACTTTAAAATATTATTTACTTAAGTAGAAATGACATAGTATTACATTTTTATATATAAGTTATATTAACAATAAAAGAGGTATGTGTATAGTTTGTACAAGTAGAATTATTCATATTTCATTATTTACAGTTAAGAACAAATAAGATAATTTATGCATGTTTTATACTATGTAATCTAAGCAAGTTTTACACATGCAGAATTCTATTTGAGGAATATGAATCCTGAGATTGAAATAAGAGATCAGTGATCACGTCATCATTATATGATGATGATATCAGCTTGACATAGGCACAAGTAGGGAAAACATGTACCTTTTTAATATCATGACAGAGAGAAGCGTGAAAAGTATATTGTCATAAAACAAAACAAGCTCATACACACACCCCAGAAATGCTAAGAAAAGTTTTAAACACCAAATTTATTTTCAATTTTATTACTGTATCTTATATAATATATATAATTTGTCAATATTTTATAATACCTTGATTTGAAGAATATATTGCACGAAACACGAAGTTGTATAAAAATTTTGGATAAGAAATTCAAGAAAATGAAATGCATCAGTAAGTACATTGTCAATAATTCTATTTCCATTCCGATGTTCAAGTTCATATTTGAGGAAACACAGCAAGCCATCTTTTGTATCAAATATGCTGTATACAACTGATTCTAAAAAGCAAATGAATATATATGTACATATATAAATGTATATAAATAATTACAATAGGTCTGTTCTTTTCAGCTAAACTGACTGCACTAGTTCAGAGTTTCAGAGTTTATCTTTTTCATTCCACATTATAGGGAAGCCAGTTCGGCTAAAAAGAAAAGTTCTAATATTGTGCAGCTTTAAAATTTTTTAAATTTAACATAATAAATGTACATAAAATAAAAGCCTATCATATATTTATAATTGTTTATGTATAAGATGTACTTATTGTTAGTATAATCAGAAGGGATTGATAAAATAAGTCATCCTTCAATGTTAAATTAATGAATTTAATTAAAATTAATTAATCAGTAATTTAAAATTTAATGATTTGAAAATTTGTAGTTTTAAAATTATTTGAAAATCACGATAAATTATGATAAATTATTTATACATCAAGATGCTTTGATTTAGAAAAAATTATTGAATATAATAATGCAATTAAAATAATAAGATAACATAATATTATAAGCTATTATAAAATATATATATATATATACTACCGTTTTTAAATGTAATTATTATATACTTACCGCGATGTTCAAGCGAAACAATCGCGAGAAATCCCCGACCATTGTTCAAGATGTTTGTCAAATCAGTGAAATCTCTGATTGAGATAGCTCGATGGAATCTTTCTAGGAAATTTCGATAATGATCCATCCTTCATTTTTTTGTCCTCCACAATCAAAATATCAACCGTACTCGATACATGCAACTGCACGTCTGCATAACTACTTCCTTGTTATCAGCTGTCATCTCATAAACACAAAGAGAGGGATAAACTTGTGGCGGAATTTTTGCGCGCATGCGTGATATTATGTCGTCGAACATGTGTGACCAACTTTAACATGAACAACGCTCAGATATCGTCACAGATTAAGGGTCGGCAGGCGACATGGTGGAGACGCCTATCGGCCGGCCGGGAATTACGGATTCTTATTTTCCAGATATTAGCGAAAATATTGAATGAATCTTATTAAATTTAGGATATTCTTAATCAGTAAGCTCATTTGTAGTCCTCTAAAGAGCTATTTTATGAAAAAAAGATAAAAATAAAAATTTTTAATAAACTTGGGGGAATGCACAGCTAGGAACGGGTAAGGTTGGGTTAGCCGCGAGTCCGTATTTTATTTATTATAAATTTTTAAGAGCGAAAATGTAAAATCCGGCCTTTTAGAGGACTGCTTTATTATATAAAGAATATATTAAAAAAAAATTCACGAAGTTATGTCACTTATTTTATGAAATATCTGGACGATAAGATTCTCACTAGATTCATAAGGAGCAGGGGAAATTTCTGTGGTAACATGCTGACTGCTTGACAAGGAGAGAGCATCATTCCATCTTTGTCTCTCTTACATCGCATATGTAGTAGCGTCCATGTAGGTACAAACACTAATACGTGAGCACACGGATGCAAATATTGAGAGATAATGTCAGCAAAAAGGCTATCATATTATTTTTATTTTTTTGTATATGTATGCATATGTAAATAAAGAACAAAAATAAAAACTATTTTAAGATGACATTTTATAATTAATTTTCTATATGTATTTGCATTTTATTAATATGTATTACATTTTTGATATGTTTTTAATTTATAATTTATATAAACATAAGTATGAAATAAAAATTGAAATAGTTCTGAAAATAAGTATATTAATGATAAAATTATTCAAAACAATAAAAAATTAAATTTAATATTTTTTAGTGTTTGTACCTACATGGACGCTACTACATATGCGATGTAAGAGAGACAAAGATGGAATGATGCTCTCTCCTTGTCAAGCAGTATTAAAAGCCATATTAAAAGCTCTAGCTTCATTCAATTAATAATCCAATATAATAATCAACAATTATTTTTATATAATATATAGTATTTTTAAATATTTTTAAATATTTAAAAATATTTTTTTTAAGATTAATTGAGGAAAAGAATATTTTAAATATAAAAAAATATTTTAAATATTCTTTTTCAATTAATTTTTAAAACAAATTTTTAAAAATATTTTTATATATTCAAATACTTATTATATTATATAAAAATTATTGTGAATTATACTCATTGGAGTAATAATTATTGATTGAAGCTTGTTATGGCACAAACTGAACATCTTGTACATTGTCTGTATAATATTTTACTTATTTATAAAATGTTTTTTATAAATAAATGAAATATATATATATATATAATATATAAGATTATTGATGTTACATTGTATAACTCTCATTTCTTTCTCTCTGCTACATAAGTACTTATGACGTGAAAGAACTTACGAGTAACGTATGATGGCTCAATGCAAGAATATTTAATCACGTAAAAAACTTGAGTTCAAATATATCAATATCAATTTTTTTATAATATATTGGAATATAGAAAATCATAGAAATATATTTTTTATATAGGCGATAAACTTAAAAATTTGATATTGAAAATATTTTAATCATTTTACAACTACACATACTATAAATATATAAATGCAAAATAATTCCGTAAATAAATTTCAAGTAATAAATCAATTGCACACATGCACACAGCTGGTATGTAGATTTTTATTAAATTTATTTTCTGAATTATTTTACACTTATATATAGTGTATGTAGTAAAAATATTTTCAATATATTAAAAAATTTTTAAATCGCCGAAATATATTTTTTTATCATTTTTCTATATTCTAATATATATATATATATTATAAAAAAATTGATATTGATATATTTGAACTCTAATTTATATACTGGATGATATACTGAACATCCTTGCATTGATTATACATTACTCAACGTTCTTTCACGTTATAAGTATTTGGAGCAAATTATACAATAGCATCAATAATCAAAAAGAAATCAAGAATATAATCAACATATCCCTTATATAATATATATATATATATATATATATATATATATATGTTATATATATACGTTATGCACATATGTGCATAACCATATATACAATTTCCAAAAAGTGGGTGCTTATTAGTCTTGCTACGTTACTGCTTTCTGCTACGGAAGGCCAGAAAGCATTTTCAGGCGGCATCTCGCGTATACCGGCACGGTAGATGAACAAGGAGAACACGTGATTATCGGTCCTTGTCTCTCTTACGTGCGTCCGCGTGAGCGATGCAGTTGGTGTATGTACGTGTACAGACATACACCACTACATAAAACCCGAGAATTGGTTTCTCGGCGTTGGCAACACTGAAACCGGAGTTTCGCGTTGTCACCGCACGAGGTCTCCAATATCAATTCGGAGTTTGCCTGGGTGTACTGCCGACCCTTAAGGGGATCCTAAATGCACGGGCGAACTCCGATAGGGTCGATAATGAAGATTTTTTAAATATAATTATCGACAAAACTCTACAGATGTCGCAATAAAAAAGTTGTCAATCGACACACACATACATATACAGGGTGTCCCATTTTATATAATTTATAATTATATAAAAATTATATATACACAGGTTGTTACACATACATATACACATATGTATGTGTGTGTGTATTTATACAAGGTGTCCCATTTTTACTACCCCTAATATCTCTTTGTTTCAATGCATTTTATAATAAAACAACAAAAGTTATACGGTTTCAAAGGAACTATAAAATAGTACCATTAGTGTTGACCTTGCACAGTCATAAAGATTACGTGAAAGTCACTATCACCTGATAAGTTATAAAGTTTCAACATTGCAATATCGCTTCTGAGAATTTTGCGCACATGCAAACTGCATCTGGGGTAAAATATTTTGTACAGTTATCAGCAAACGAATAGATCGCCTGTGGAATTATTTTTTAAAACAACCAGCACACGAATAGATCGCCTCTGGAATTACAGTTTTAAAACAACCAGCACACGAATAGATCGCCTCTGGAATTATTTTTTAAACCAGCACACGAATAGACCGCCTCTGGCACTAACTACTATAAAAACTATAATAATAATTATCAATTATACATGAAAAAATAAACAAAGGATTGCATTATCTTTCAGATAAAAAAAATTGAGAATTGCATTTTAATAAAAAAAAAATTAAAATAAAAATTAAAAATAAAAATAAAAATTGCATTTTAAACGTCTATTTGAATGTTCTTATAAAATTACACCTACATACATACATACATACAAATATATATATATATATATATATATATATATGTATATATATATTTATATACAGGGTAAACCATTTTAATCTTTGCACTAAAATTTCTCAAAATTCAAAAGTTTAAGACAAAAATGTTTCAGATAAAAGTTGTATGGTTTCAAGGGGGACATAAGATGGTGTCATTGATTTGACCTTGAATAGCCATTTGAAGGTTACGTGACGGTCAACTTCAATTTCTTAAATAGAACACTATATTTTTTTTTGCATACTTTTATAGCTGACTTTAAGATCTTTCCAAAACACTACAATAAAATATTTTTTCATTAAGTATTTTTCGAGTTATAAGGCTGCAAATTTGCAGTATTTTGACATAAAATAGAAAATATCTTGGGAAATATTCATTTTTCGATTATCATACCTTAATACTTTTATGCACAGAATAATGAGACGAATCAATTGGTGTAAAGAAAACACATAGTTGTCTTAAAGAAAAATTATCTAACTGCTTATTGCAATTTTCATATTTTTTTTAAAGGTAAATATGTGTTTTCTTTACACCAACTATATATATCAATATATATGTATCAATATATATATATATATTAATACGATGTTCAGCATAACAATACGTACGATTTTTGAAATGTTTGCAACAGTTTAGAAAAAAATATATATTGTAAAAATTGATCTGTTTTGTGCAATCTATTACAAGCAATAAAAAATGAGGAAAAAAAATTTTTATAAAAAAAATTAGTGTTACCTTGAATTTTTTTTAATAAAATCATATTTTTTTATATAAATCGATTCTCAATATTCTGCATAAGTTGTAATGTAGGATGGCCAAAAAAAGCGAATAGCTTATGAGATATATTATACTTTCATAATGTACATAAACTATGAAATATCTCATGAAATCATTTTCTGATTATTTTATTCCAATTTTAAATCAATTGGTGTAAAGAAAACACAGATATAAATAAAGATATAAATTGTAAACCAGCAGCTACATATTTTCTCAAAAACTCAAATATCTCGTAAACTTTTCACTTTTTCACAATTTTATCTTTATAATTTTTGATGCAGAATATTGTAACAAATTGATTTAGATTGAATATGATGCTTTTATTTAAAAAAAAATTATGACATTCATTTTTTCATGAAAACATTTTTTTTTTAATTTTTCTGTTACGTAATAGCTTTGAAACAAATTCATTTGTACAATATAAATTTTTTAATTATCAGAAACGTCTCAAATATCATGCGCACTATTATATATATATATATATATATATATATATATAATACATACAGCATACATAATACTGTTACATACAGCACAAATACACAAAATATTACATACCTATTTATTATGCACATAAATGTATATAACGATTAGATATACAAAAAAAAAGAAATAGAAGAAAAAAGAAATAAATAGAAAGAGAGCGAACGAGTGAGCCTTTTTATAAACGTCGACAAGCAATATATTATTATGTATGTATACATGTATGTGTTGTAACCGTGGATTTTATATTGTCCGTCGGATCGAAAAGGATCCGGGAAATCGGGCCGATGTAAGTGACCGACGGCACACCTTCGGCGCGGAAAGCGGGAAATTCTCGTAAACACAAAAAAAATATGTTTGGTTGGGCGCCAGGCGCGAGATTCGCGCCACTCTG